CTCAGTACCAGAGTGTTATCGAGAGTACCAACGAGGATAAATTTTCCATTGGGAGAAAATCTGACAAAGGAAACAGGAGGATTCTCATCATCAATTAGGGTTTTCACACAATGCCCAGTAGCTGAATCCCATATCCTACACAACCCATCAAAGCTACTCGAAACAATGAGAGACCCATCGCGATTGAAATCGACGGCAGTAACCGGATCGGAATGCGCAGGAAGAACTTTCAAACACTTTCCAGTTTTCACATCCCAGATCCGAACAGTTTCGTCGAACGAACCAGAGACAATCATGTTCGATTGAGGATTGAAATTGACACAGAAGACGTAATTCGTGTGCCCGATAAGCGTTTTCACCAGCGAACCGGTTTCAACGTCCCAAAGCTTTAGGGTTTTATCATCGGAAGCTGAGACGATAAACCTCGCGTCTGAAGAGAAAGCAACGTCGGAGATTCCGTACTCGTGGCCCGCGAATTCTCGTACGGGCTCGGCGATGGAGTCTCCGTCGACGTTGATGGCGTAAGTGCGGATTTTTTTGTCGGCGGAGGCTGAAGCGAGGAGACGGCCATTGGAAGAGAATTTCACGGAGGAAACGGCGCGATTGTGAGGAGTTAGGGTTTGTGAGTGAATGTAAGGAGTGAAAGATGATGATGCTGGAACTTCTTCTGCCATGGGTTACCAGAAAAAGATGTTTTTTTCTAGGGAATTTTGAAATCGAGGTTTACGAAAGTTTCTGCGGATTGGATTTGGCTTGATTAGGGTTTTGGAAAGGGGGATGTGTCCCAAGGAGAGAGACGAACAGTGTTCTTAAATAAAAAAAAAACCTAACTCGTTTAAACAAATTGTGGGGTGTATTTTTAAATAATAATAGTATTGGGGTATTTTTCGAGATTTCGTAAATTAGAGTGATCTCACGAACGTCTCACGTGCTCATTTTTTTCAAAGTTTCAAGCTCAAACCCCTCAGTCTGACTCCGAGTCTTTGGAATCTTTTGGAATTTTTGTATTCTCTCTTCTTCCCATACAAAAGCTTCACAAATCAACAACATTGCCAAGTAATTATGTTTTCTTATACCAGTTCTCCTAATAACAAAATTAATCTAAGAATCTATGTACGTAATTAAGTTTTGTATTATGTAATGACTAAATTTGTATTTAGTGAAACTCAATCTTTTTATTTGGTCTAAGAAACTCAATCTTTATTACTCCTAACTACAACTACTTAAGTTAGTACCGAATTACTAAATCCAACTTTTAGTTTTCGTGTGAACAAAAGCTGAATTTTACAAAAGCAAAGTCAATGATTTTTCTGAACCACTTGTAAAATGTAACCATGTAAATGATGTAAATTGACGAATCGAAAGATTATTCGGTGAGATATAAACTTCAAGTTGAGTTTATAGAACATGCATATTAAATTAGATATAAACTAGGTGTGAGTACCCATAGTTCTATGTGGGGTACAAGTAATGCATAAATATTAAGAAAATATGTATTTCATATTAAATTTATTTTGTTGATAATATGCAAGATGGGCCAAATAACACAAATATTGGAGGCTCCTCAGCCGAAGAAAATCACTAATGTATATGTTCAACGAGTTCCATATTAATTTAAGTTTAGTAGATAAACTAAATGTCATAAAAAGCAAATTATACTAGTTTACTTTTATCTGATTTACATGGAAAAAAATTGTATGTTCGAATTCTTTTGTAAAAGAATCGGCACAGACATGAAATGATATAAAATCACGATTCGTGTTAAAACATGTATAAATTGTTTTTATCAAAACCGGATTACATTCAAACCAAAAACAAATGAATTAACCCATATTTTTTTTTTTGGTCATCTATGTTATATATAATGGTTAAATAGAGTTCA